TTACAGATACTGAGAAATATCGTTATCATTTCATAGGAGAGAATCACCATAGCACATTATTAAAATGTAAACAAAGAATTCGTGCCCACCTTAAAAGGACATGCGGATGTGTTTTTAGTGTCGTTTTATTTAAAAACAGGTGCAATACCAGCAATTGCATTACGTGTATCCCAATAGTCTCTTTCGTGAAATAATCATGTACACGGAAATACTTCCACGTGCATAGTTGAGAAGGACGAGTTTCAAATGGTTATCGTATGCATGCGAACAGCATTTATTTTCCAGTCGTTTGCATATTATTATTTCAAAGTAGAAAAACATGTTACAACGATTAATAAAACGTAACTTCGGATTGATAATATCATCTTAAATGAGCTAAACCTGAATATCGCAAATGCTTGAGCTTAATTTTCTCTTTCACATATCTTTTCAGCACGTTTGCATATCTAGTAAGATAAAAAAAATTTAAGTAACAAAATGAAACAATTATTTTTGTCTTTCAATATAATATATCTTTTTTATATTTCTGTATATTTTTTTAGAACAATAAATTAATTTTTCTATAAAAAGTCACTAAAAAATATTTTTAATTTTTGTTCTTAAAATATTTTAACTCCGAGATCACTTCATCATTCGCTCTACATTTCCGATTTTTTGTTCCTCTAGCGATTATTTTTTATTTTCAAAATTGATATCCGATTTGTGTGAAAACAATTTACTAGTAATAAAGAAATGATTTCCATAGTGTTAAACTATGACAAAAATTCAGAATATTTTTTAGGTATATAGAAAAATAAAAATTTAGTTATCATTATACAAAAATGTATTGAAATAACGATTATATTAAAAAATAAAAAAATAATTTTCCGTTTTATTATCTTATTTTATATCCTTGAGCTGAAAGTTCAAGTTTGTGACTTATTATATACATATATATATTAGGTGTTGGAATTAATTGTAAAACGCTACGAATTAATTCCAACACCTAATATATTGAATACTTTGATCAAGAAAATATTTGATCATCATTGTTTATTATTTTTTTCCTGATGAATAATCTATGGTACCAAGCCAATCATACATTTTAATTAATTTCCTTAACATTCAAAATATCTTATTTTTCTCTCGACTTCGTTAATTGACGAAATTCGTTCGAATTTTTGCAAGCGTTGAAAATCGATCAGACATATCTGCCATGATATCGACGCGCTGTCGACTCTAATTTTATCCGATAAATGCATTTCATTCTCTCTGTACAAACGCTGGAAGGTTAAAGACCTTTTCTCTGACAATTATTTTCACGAACCTGTTACGCTCGATGCCCGTAAGTCTGTCCATGACAGGATAACTTCGCTATTTGGTGATAATAGCGGCCGACCGGGGAACAAACGAGAAATCGATTTGAATTATTAAGGTAGAGGAAATATGACGACGACATGGGTATCGATAGAGTAAAGCGAAATACAATTATGTCCGTTTACCGGTATGGGATCGGGAAAATACCGTTAAGCGCGTAATTAACGACGCAGATTGATTCTGCGTTTATACGCGCTTTTACGTGAATATGCGGGAGAAACACACAATCATCTCCGTGAAAAACACACATGCATATACGTTTACAAAATAGGCGCATCCGGGCGTGAGAATTTACCGGCTTGATGTCGCTCGTTAACGATCGCTCGAGATTTGTACGCGCGATTTTCACCGATGATCCATTTGACCCGCGGCGTGGATTATCGTCGACGGTGTCTCTGCCACGTATTTTCATCGTCACCGGTATATACGAGCGTAATGAACGTGGACGTGTGCAACGAGGAAGATTGATTTGACGGATATGACGACTTAGTAATACGCCCGTGCCCACGATGGCCGTTTTATTAAAAGCCCGGCGCAGGTGTAAAACTAGACTTATCTACCATGAGAAGAATTTGCACATCAAGGCTAATATCATTTTAACGCTGCTCGTTTCTTACGCTGAACTCGTATAAAAATGATATTCTATGTTGTAGATTGTCACGTGAAATTTTCAATTTTTTGATAGCGTTGCTTGATTGATATTAGTCACTAATAATAATAATTATTATTATTTTAGTATAAATAATTATTACTATTATATGACACGTATTAATATTACATAACACATCGTTAATAATAGTAATAATAATTATTTCGACAGAAATAATAATTAGAAATAATATAATATTATTAGCACTTATTAGAGTCCTATATAATATTATTTTTATCAAAATAAATATTACTGATATTAACGACTATATAATATCGATTAAATAATGCTATAAAAATATGTTATATAATGTTATTTGCGTTTAACAAAAATTATGAGTGTGAGAAAAATACTCTTTATTGCATTTTTTATTATAATATGCGAAATAATTAGTACGTATAAATAGAAAATCGTATAGGAGACTTTTGAGACATTTATAGAGCGAAGTACAGTAGGATTAGTAAAATGTATTTTTTTTCTTTCTTTTAATACGCTGTCTATGGAAAAATATAGATCGAGAAGTTCTACCTTTTCATCAAATCATTAAGAATTCAGTAGATAAGTCATTAGCTCGGAGAATTCCTTATTATGGTAATTCCCTAATCTATAATTTATACATAGATCTGAGATCCAGAGAATTCGAACTAGTTACAGTTTATATATGGTAATTTTCTGAATAACGCCGCCGAGACCGCGCGCATGTTTTATTTTTAAGATAATTACAATGATAGAAAAACAATAATATCAATTTTCTAATTAAAAATTACAATGCAAATATAATAAAATTTGTAGAAAGGTCAAACAAATGAGCAATTAATTAGGTCAAAGATTAAAACTAGCTATTCATTAACGTATATAATGTATCGTTTCGATTATACTAATAAGTCTTCTTCAGCCAAATTACAATAGAAAAAAAATTAAGAGTTTGGAAATGATAGACAAATTTCGTCAACATTTTTAGTAGCCGATTACGCCTGCGTTTCTCTAAACAAGCAAAGGGATAAACGTAATTTTATTACATCGCGAGAAGAACCCCGGATAAATGGATCAATTCCAATCGAACTCGCGAGCGTTCTCGTTTCGCAAAGCGCGAAAGAAAAATTCATTTTCGGAACGTTTGTCATCGGAACCGTTGATGCGCTGGGAGCAGTTGCGGAATTAGCTTTGTGATGCACTCACGAACGCACTATTGCATTCCGGTCATAGCAGGCGAGGCGTGCACTACTACGAATGCGACGTATGCATTGGAAGGGTAGGAAGAATAGCGCGGTCGATGGTTCTGTCAAAAGGTCGCAATTCTGCAGATACTAAAACCATCGTCTCTCAAAACCGAGCACGTCATCCCTGTCTTCGTAGTCGCACCGGAAAGGTCGCGCGTATGAAAACTAGCTTCGTTCCGGACTTCGCCAAACTAGTTTACGTGGAAGTCTGTCAGACGAGTGCATATTGTCGCGCTTAATAACTTCTGCATAATTTACCAAAGAGGGGGAGAGAGAGAGAGAAGGAGGGAGGAAGAAAGAAAGAGAGAGAAGAGACATCGTCGATGGCGTGGAAACGCTGGTACCGCTTGGGTCAACGGATGTCATCGTCGGTGTGATCAACCGCCCTCGTCGAGAATCCCGAAAGTCGACCTTTCGCGATGGTGACAGGGCGTTACACAACGTAACGCCCACACGACCGCGTAAATTAACTTTAAGCACGGTTTCGAGATCCTGAGTTTGTAATTCGAGTTACGGCACGCTTTGCATTTTAAGTACCACGCCCGTACGGGGCTATCGTCGAAACGACTCGGTCACGATTATTCCCAAGCAGGGGTAAGTATTTTTCGTATCCACTGCTGTTGGAATTTTCCCAGATTGCCGAGGAATATCATGGGTCACGTTTAGAAAATTTTAATTAACATACAGTATTCACGCGATTTTTGTTTATCTTATCGAACTTCGCGATTCCGTTGAGATCTGTCAATAGATGGATGTTTTGTCATTTTCGTCTCATGTTTAAAAAAATAAATAGAATTCATTGTTACGAATATACGAATAAATATGTGAGCGATACGAGATCTTATCTTAAATTGTGTAAAATCAAATGCGAAATTATACTTTTTGTATACATTGCATTAATAAAGATTGAAAGATTAAAATTAGAGGGAAATAGTTTAACTCTTCCTTTTCTTTTGCCGACCAAAATTTTATTTTAAGATAATTTTCGTATCTTGTCATTTGAGAAAAAACAACAATTTTCAAACATTTTTTTATTTTTATAAAAAAAAACATTTAATTGGATAATTAACATAAATCAATTAGAAATGCATTAAAACATGTTAGAATTATCAAATTCTCGGCGGCAAAAGGATTAAATCAAACTTGTCCAAATTATCGCGATACGACTTCTCCTCTTCGTCGTTCCGCTAAATGAGATGGAGAAAAGAAATGAAAAAGAATAAGCGCGCTAAAACTATAAATCATCATTTAAAAAAACAGGTATTCGTTATATCCGTGTCTCGTAGTCGGTTAATTTTGTTATTAAGAGAAATTATTGCGACGTGAGTGCTGCGAATAAATGGAAGTAAGAAGCTAGAATTTCAGATTTAAAAAAGTAGCGCAAACAAGTGCCATGTTTGACTAAATAACCTATTATATTAAAGAATTATTGATGAATTATTTATTGAATGACAGAGAGTGCGTTCCATTTAATGACACAAATCGACATAAACATTCTATTTTTCTTGATATTCAAAGAGTAACAAAAAGAGAAAGATTTATGTCGACTTGTGTCATCAAATGCAATGGAAAGCACCCGCACTAATTAGGTAAAAAATGACAGTCAATAAAAAAAGAGAAGATAGTCAATAAAGAAACGACATTCTCAGATAAAAGGAATGTGTGCTACTCTTATTAATATCTGAAGCTAAAAGAAGCGTCTCTATCTTTCATTTTTCAATTTGGACAGACTTGGATAAAATTTTTCGATCGTACTTCATCATATTTCGACTTACAGGTGACGATTAGGTGAGCGCTGGCGCGAATTGGTTTGACCCGCAGATATCGTCCGACTTGACACTCGTACTCGCCATCGTCGGTCAGAGACGCGTCGGTGATTTTCAGGTTGAAAATACCGGCGTTTTGATCGCCGATCAATTTCAACCTAGGGTGGCCCACGATTTCGCCGTCTGTAACATCAATTCAGGATCGTCATGCATTGAGTTATATCACTTGTTCGCAAGCAACAATCGATTGATGGAAATTAGATAATTGGTTAACATTTTCTACCTCTTGGCTAAGTGTTGTAATTCATGATCGCGCAGATACGCGGCTAATACATCGGCTTTAATTTTAGCTCTGTTTATTAGCGTTTATTCGATCGGTATGCGAGCACTCTCGGCAAAACGATGCGATTACGGGTAGGCGGAAGTCGATGAGACCGCTGAGTAATTAACCACTCGCCGTTGATAGTCTCGCTCTCGGACAAGGTTCTTTACAGTCACGCTTAAATAATAAATCCACAACTTTACTATGTTCTTAAGTAAGGTCGTAAAAGTTGTAGATACCTATGTAAAGATACCTATGTATTGAAAGAAGAGGGATAAATTTCAAAATTTTCTTGTCATCTTAATTCTATATTTCATCCGTGTTACGTTTTTCTATCTTGCAGGATTTAATTTCGAACATTCTGAAAATTATGAACAAATATTTAATAGTTTAATATAATATTTAGACTAATCGATAAATTGAAAAGGACACTATCGAGAATATTAAAATATTTTACTCATAGGTAATTTTTATAAAATAATTAATGTGTCAGAAAATTAAATTAAAAATTTCACATATTTTTAAAGTTTAATGAGATAAAAAATTCTACATTTGTATGTGTCTGATATTTTTTCTCTTATCTAGAAAATTCTATAAAAAATTGATATTAATAAATTGAAATGCTTTCTTAACAAAATTTTAGTTAATATATCAAGCTTAAAATTTAATATGTAAAAAATAAACTTTACAATCACTTCGTGTACATATTTGTGGACTACGCGTAATCGTAACGTATACAACGTTGTAAATTCGTAAAAGTAGGAAACAATGTGGATAACATTGGTTCTTGATTAGTGCGTTAATGTGTTTCCAAAAATTTCTGTGTAAAACAATCCCGTGTAAAGCGAAAACTCAATTTCCTATTGAAAATATAAGCAGCTTTTGTGCGTGGTTTTAATTGGTAGATTTAGACAGAAGCGTGTTTTCCCGCGACGTTAATTGTACAAACACAGGATTATCTGTCTTTGCCGAATTTAACAAACACAGTTTATTCTGTATGCATTTTATCTTTGTTATTATCGAAACATTTATATTATATCAAACGACCTTTCGGATCATTCTCTTTTTAAGTGGATTTATCAGAGACCAATGCGAATGGTACAGACAGATAAATTTCAGATAAATTTTCTACAAAGAAATATAACTTTAAATTTTTCTTAAATTGTGTACCACATATAATATTACAAAATTTACGTTTATAATCTATGTATTACATATTAAAAATCTGATCTCAAACTCATATTTTTTCTGAAGAAAATGTAATTAGTCGTCTTTATTATAATTTTCCAATACTTTCGTATTTCATGCTTTTCAAGATTCAAAGTGTTAATGCTAGACAAAAAATGGTCTAATCAGTTTTGTCTGGATAATTGGCGTTCAATTAAGGCGATTAAAAAGGAAAGCAGAAAGTAACGATCCTTCTCTAATACATACACAATGCTATTCGATAAATCTTAAATTAGATTCTACTGAATTTCGAAATCTGTAGTTTTTGAAAAATAATAAATAATCAAACATAAAAATAATTTTTCTGGCTAGTAATAATTCAAAAATTCTTTTATCCATTCTGAATATCTTATAATTAAACATTTACTGTTGATATACATCGATATTTTCGTAGAAAAAAAATACTTCCTCGTGAAGCAGTGAATTTGTGGTTTTCTAGAAAATGACATTTGAAAAAGGAACAGTCACACGATAATAGATCTTTATATTTCAATTTATTATACTCACTCTGCTGTATGACATAAGCAAATCCGTCTTTGACCCACTGGACGGTACCGACTCGGTTCCCCACCTCGCAAGAAATTGTCACCTCGCCGCCTTCCAGCACGGAACTATTGCTCGGCCTGACCCGAAAGTATTGTCCCTCGCCTGTAACAGAAAGATAAAAATGATTTCGATTCGGAAGCTGCGCTTCTTCGGAAGGACGATAAACTTGCGCGTTTCTGCATGCCATCGTTTTGCGAACAGTTTTGCTCGCTCGACAGGATAAAGCAAAGTAGGGTGATGTGCCATAGACTATAAAATTACGTTTTTACACTACGTTTCTCTCCCCGAAGAAATTGTCTACGTGAGATTTATCTTTATCTATGCACATGAAAAAACATTGTGAGTCGACGACTGATTTGTGATGAATATTTCGTTAAATATTTTATGGATCTTTTATCTTATAATTAGATAGGGATACTAAAAACTAACAATTTCCTTATGTATACTCGTTATTATTTTTTAGAAGAAAAATTAACGAGCGGCCAATTAATGGCAAAAGGTATAAGCATAAAAACGAATCCAGTTACAAATCCGTAACTTCAGAATCGAATAATTGCGTGATGGCTAATAATTGTGCGGTATCTAGCATTTATCGCGCGTGACGGCAAATCCACTTCCGATTCCGTCATTCGCTTGTAATACAAGACTTTACGTTCAGTTGCATCGATCGTCTTGGTTAATTAACTGTAATTGTATATTACGGTCTTTTTTGCTCCGTAGCGCTGATTATCACCCGTGTTGGGTGAGAGTTTCATGTATCGACTGCGATGCCCCACGATGGTGTAACCGTTCAAGTGCTTGTGTGCTAAGTTTGCCGAGAACTGAACCATCTACCAGCCCGGTATAATTTCTCATTTTTAGCAAACGATAGTGGGATCCTAATTGCTTCTTATTGAGCATCGTAGATGCAGCTCTATGCCAATACAGATCGATTAGGTGCGCTAGCGAAGCAACGAGAGAGCACAATAATTATTCCGGCGATAATGTCGGCGATTACGCAAACCGCCGCTAAGCCTCTCGTTTTTCGCAGCGTTACTGCTGCTGGAAGAATCAGACGGGTTTGGTTTCAATACGATCGATAATCCCTGTGCCGCATGGTATTCCACGTCTGTACCGCATCACCACACGTACAAGATCGAACTGCGTTACGCATCACACGCGAGTATTTGTCCCTTTGTTCCGTACCGCCGCGTTAAAAGTAAATTCACACGTTTCGTATCGTGTTGATAGACGACTTGAAAAAATTATATAATTGCGCCAATGGTGTAAATAATAATTTGAGAAATTATAATTGGGATTATGATAATATAGACTTATATATATAAAATCCAAGATATGAATACTAACTTTGCTTCCTGATCGCTACGTGCATCGCTAATTACATCTTCTCTTTCTCTTTCTCTCTCTCTCTCTCTCTCTCTCTCTCTCCTTCTTTTATCAGCTTAAAAATATATATTCGTATATTTATTTTTATATATAAAACACATATAAAAGTATTAAATATGTATCTTTCAACAATTTTTCCATATGTCGGCTTATCATGAAAAATTGATACATATATTGCAACAAATGGAAGGATTGGTACAGGCTATGAAAGTGATTTACAATTGAATTTGTATTGAAAACGGCATAGTTCACGTTTTTTTTTTTTATTAAATTGGATCAACAATGCTTTTCAATGCCTCAATTCTCTACTCGTATTTGTCTGAAAGGGACATGCGTTTATCATTCATCATTGCAGTGATACATGTTCTCGTGAATCTTGTGTTAGTTTTGAAAATGGTACACATCATAAATTATCGCTGTATCGCTTAATTTCATTTCAGTGTGAAAATGTTGAGTTTTTTTTATCAATTAGTTTTTATTGCGAAATAAAAAATGAATAAAGCACGTTCCTGCGATTCTATAGGTTTTCATTCTATTGAACGTATTTTAATATCAACTTTACAATATCTCAATAATAACAATACATAGTAAATATTTTATTTTAAAAATAAAACATTTTTAACATTAAATAAATTAACACACATATAGCAAATTTCTGCGTGTAACAAAAAAAGATTGTTAGTTATTTTAACGTGTACGAGTCTTACGCGCGCGTGATATCTTTCATGATAATTATATAGCTTGTTTTCTGACTGTTACAGCTGTTAGAGCTAATTTTCTCGATTACGGGTTTCACACTTGCTATAAAATGGATTAAATTGCTTTCGTGGCCTAAATAACTAATTTAATGCTGTTGTAAAACCTAATGTATCGTAATCAGTAGTGTCGGTCAAACAGGAACGAGTCCCTTGCGTTCCTCATACCTGTATTTTTCAAAACACAATTAATTTTCATGAAATGGATTGCATTTGCTGAGTGGATTTGCGATGACGCGCTTAAGCGAAAATTCATTCGTGCAATACGCATACGCACTTGGGATGATTCATCCAGGATGATCGTCCAGAGTGAACCGTGTAAATTGGGTTTCAAGCGGTCGCCTAGCCTGGTCCGAATTTACGCAATCCCGCCGTCCAAATGCAACGTCAATAAAATATAGGTGAGTCGACCAACCAAGGTCTAAACGCGATTCGACTGGCGTCGTTTAATTTTGTAGCACAGACCGACCCGTCGACACTCGGATTCGTCCAAAGGGATTCAATGATTGGGCGCGATTGTGGAGAACGGATTAAAACGACGCCACCCGCGGTCGGCGAACGAGAGTTCGAAAACAAACGAGCGACGAGAGATACGAAAATAAAGTTTATAATTGAGTCCACATCGCAGGTTCTGGCATTATCCGAATAAAAATTTCATTTAGGCAAAGGGTTTGGATAAGTGAAAAAAAAATTAACTTTTATTTCCACCTACGGGATAAATGTTTCATTCGAATGGGAATTTATTTGAAGTTAAAATCTATCTGTGATACTCTTTATGGGATTATAAAATATACTTTTGATCACATAACGGATTATTATTATTATTATTATTATTATTATTACAAATAATTTTTCATATTTTATTTGATGATTTAAAAAATTGTTATTCAAATCTGTGAATAATTTTTCATTGAACACAGGTAGAAACAGCAGCAAAATTAAACGAGAAAGAGGACGAAATTAAATTTTTAGATTATACTCTAAGCAAGCAATATATATTAATTTTATTTAATTGAATTTATTTACTTGATATTTTAAAAGTAATATTTTTACATTTTCACGAAGCTTTGTTGTTATCAAAAATCTTAAATCTTTTACAATGCTCGATTTTTCCTTTCTCTTCTAACAAAAAAAAAGTAAATACCGGTAAATCTTTCTGAACGTGCTGATAGAACATAAATCGTTAAAAATATCGTAGCGTTATAACTATTTTATACTGCCGCGAATGCATACAAAGCCGGATTTAACAACCGGAAAGACGATAAATAATTGTCACGGCAGTAAACACAAGCTCCATAGACACGAAGAGCAAGCGTAACGTCGCGGCGTATATGTAACAACGTTTCGACCGATTGCTTAAGTAAAATTTATCTTAATGCGCCAAAGCTTTCAGCGCGAGCTCTTAATTGACGCAGAGCGGAAAATGCGCGTAATCGGCCTAGAACGAAATAAACATCTCAGAGTTGGAGAAAGAAAGAGAGGAAGAAAGAGAGAAAGAATAAAAAGCAGCAGCAAATCTGCCGTATGAATTACGTGATTATCGGCTTCGCAACCTTTTTCTGTTCAATCTGCATTGTGCTACACACAACACAGTTTTATGTATAGCCTGGTGCATTCTAATAAGAGTGCATTTTACATCGAAGCTGAAACAGCTTTCCGCGAGTATTTTCGCGTAAATTCGTCCTGGACAAAAAATGTCGAGCCATCAGCTGTTTTTGAATTATAAATTATTGTTGGCGTCATCCTGCATGCATGTGACAGATTTTCAGGAATTAATTTTCAGAACGAATAAAAATTGATCATAAAACACGATCTCATGTTTGATTTAATTTAAATAGCGATTATGTGCGTCGATGTGATTTTTTTTTTATTCGACTATTTTTTAGTCGCGAAAATACTCGACAGGCAAAATGATAGAAAATTTACCAGAAAATACGGAGTCGAAGAGATTTTTACGAAGGGGAAGGTCGACTGCAAATTGGCGGAAGGACGAGAGAAGGAAGTGCATAGCGGAATCCGGTATATACATATATATGCATCCGGTATATGTATTGTATATACGGCTTAGACTCCTCCTGGTTTATTTCCCCCTTTGTTTATTTCAGCATGGACTTGGATTAAAAAAAAAATCACGTTTCCATTCTTATTTCAGCTACGCGAAAAGTGTCGCATAATAGATGCATGTCACTAGGCGTCCGCGTAAATTCCGCGATTAATCACCACGCTGCCGATCAATTATCGAACGCGCTTTTTATCCGCATTGAAACATCGTTGCCGTTGGCTTTCGTACATATTTACCTTTCCACCGTATTATCGGGCAATTCTATGTAGATCTCACTTCCTTCGCGCGCTCTCGCCATTAGAATTTCAAGCGTGGATCCGACTCACGGAATTTTCGATAAAATCACTTCGCTGTCCTTCTTACCGGTTCTTAGACGAGAGATGGACCTGGCGTACTTTCTTAAACCCTATTCATTGTTCGATCAGTTCGTTTTATCCGCTTAAATTTTAGTGGCGATGGAAAAGACTCGGCAATCCGTTAATTAAAAAAAATAAAATTTAAATTCGAAATAATTTATACTCGAGTATCTAAGCAGAAATTAAATTACTTTTAACTACATACGAACATATTTTAACTACAATTTTGTTTTCAATTTTCTGATTATCAAAGACCCGATTGAAAAGAGGAATTAATTCAAAAAGTTCTGATGTTGCAAAAAGAGGAACTTTTATGCTTGATTGTATCAACACGAATTTGCTCATGACAATCGTACTCCCTAGTAAAATTCATTCTCGAGACTGTCGTTAGCTCGAAATATCCTCCGTGTTGTTCCGTTTATCTCCCGCCATTACCGGCTAAATATTAACGTCGTTGAATTTGCAGGCATAACAAATTCCGCATTTCGTGCTTTCTTGTCCCGATCGGATGGATTCTGTCACCCGCAATGAAAAGGTAGCATA